TAACAATCAACAGCAGTGAGCTTTCCATGAGTAAAGATTGGACAAAAGGTCTGGGTGACGGTTTGGCGAAGAACACGTCATTAACTACTCTCAACCTAACAATCAACAGCAGTTACCTTTCCATGAGTGAAGTTTTGACTAAAGGTCTGGGTGACGGTTTGGCGAGAAACACGTCATTAACTACTCTCAGCCCAACAATCAACAGCAGTGAGCTTAGTAAAGAGTGGACAAAAGGTCTGGGTGACGGTTTGGCGAAAAACACGTCATTAACTACTCTCAACCTAACAATCAGCAGTGACCTTTCCATGAGTAAAGACTGGACAAAAGGTCTGGCTGACGGTTTGGCGAAAAGCACGTCATTAACTACTCTCAACCTAACAATCAATCACGTCACGTCAACACCCCTAACAATCAACAGCAGTTACCTTTCCATGAGTAAAGATTGGACAAAAGGTCTGGCTCACGGTTTGGCGAAAAACACGTCATTAACTACTCTCAGCCTAACAATCAACAGCAGTGACCTTTCTATGATTGAAGATTGGGCAAAAGGTCTGGCTGACGGTTTGGCGAACAACACGTCATTAACTACTCTCAGCCTAACAATCAACAGCAGTGGGCATTCCATGAGTAACGATTGGACAAAAGGTCTGGCTGACGTTTTGGCGAAAAACACGTCATTAACTACTCTCAGCCTAACAATCAACAGCAATTACAATTCTATGATTGAAGATTGGACAAAAGGTCTGGCTGACGGTTTGGCGAAAAACACGTCATTAACTACTCTCAGCCTAACAATCATCAGCAGTGAGCTTTTCATGAGTAAAGATTGGACAAAAGGTCTGGCTGACGGTTTGGCGAAAAACACGTCATTAACTACTCTCAACCTAACAATCAAGAACAGTGAGCCTTCCATGAGTAAAGAGTGGACAAAAGGTCTGGCTGACGGTTTGGCGAAAAACACGTCATTAACTACTCGTAGCCTAACAATCAACAGCAGTTACCTTTCCATGCGTAAAGACTGGACAAAAGGTCTGGGTGACGGTTTGGCGAAAAACACCTCATTAACTACTCTGAGCCTAACAATCAACAGTGAGCTTTCCATGAGTAAAGATTGGAGAAAAGGTCTGGCTGACGGTTTGGCGAAAAACACGTCGTTAACTACTCTGAGCCTAACAATCAACAGCAATGAGCTTTCCATGAATAGAGATTGGACAAAAGGTCTGGCTGACGTTTTGGAGAAAAACACGTCCTTAACTACTCTCAGTTTAACAATCAACACCAGTTGCCTTTCCATGAGTGAAGACTGGACAGAAGGTCTGGGTGACGGTTTAGCGAAAAACACCTCATTAACTACTCTCAGCCTAACAATCAACAGCAGTTACCCTTCCATGAGTAAAGATTGGACAGAACGTCTGGCTGACGGTTTGGCGAAAAACACGTCGTTAACTACTCTGAACCTAACAATCAACAGCAGTTACCTTTCCATGATTAAAGATTGGACAAAAGGTCTGGCTGACGTTTTGGCGCGAAACACGTCATTAACTACTCTCAGCCTAACAATCAACAGCAGTTACCTTTCCATGAGTAAAGATTGGACAAAAGGTCTGGGTGACGGTTTGGCAAAAAACACGTCGTTAACTACTCTGAGCCTAACAATTAACAGCAGTGAGCTTTCCATGAGTAAAGATTGGACAAAAGGTCTGGCTGGCGGTTTGGCGAAAAACACGTCATTAACTACTCGTAGCCTAACAATCAACAGCAGTTACTTTTCCATGAGTGAAGACTGGACAAAAGATCTGGCTGACGGTTTGGCGAAAAACACGTCATTAACTACTCTCAGCCTAACAATCAACAGCAGTGAGCTTTCCATGAGTAAAGATTGGAGAAAAGGTCTGGCTGACGGTTTGGCGAAAAACACGTCGTTAACTACTCTGAGCCTAACAATCAACAGCAATGAGCTTTCCATGAATAGAGATTGGACAAAAGGTCTGGCTGACGTTTTGGAGAAAAACACGTCCTTAACTACTCTCAGTTTAACAATCAACACCAGTTGCCTTTCCATGAGTGAAGACTGGACAGAAGGTCTGGGTGACGGTTTAGCGAAAAACACCTCATTAACTACTCTCAGCCTAACAATCAACAGCAGTTACCCTTCCATGAGTAAAGATTGGACAGAACGTCTGGCTGACGGTTTGGCGAAAAACACGTCGTTAACTACTCTGAACCTAACAATCAACAGCAGTTACCTTTCCATGATTAAAGATTGGACAAAAGGTCTGGCTGACGTTTTGGCGCGAAACACGTCATTAACTACTCTCAGCCTAACAATCAACAGCAGTTACCTTTCCATGAGTAAAGATTGGACAAAAGGTCTGGGTGACGGTTTGGCAAAAAACACGTCGTTAACTACTCTGAGCCTAACAATTAACAGCAGTGAGCTTTCCATGAGTAAAGATTGGACAAAAGGTCTGGCTGGCGGTTTGGCGAAAAACACGTCATTAACTACTCGTAGCCTAACAATCAACAGCAGTTACTTTTCCATGAGTGAAGACTGGACAAAAGATCTGGCTGACGGTTTGGCGAAAAACACGTCATTAACTACTCTCAGCCTAACAATCAACAGCAGTGAGCTTTCCATGAGTAAAGATTGGAGAAAAGGTCTGGCTGACGGTTTGGCGAAAAACACGTCGTTAACTACTCCGAGCCTAACAATCAACAGCAGTGAGCTTTCCATGAGTAAAGATTGGAGAAAAGGTCTGGCTGACGGT